CCAACAAATGTACATTCTTTTAAAAAGTGTTTTATCACCTACCCTTCTACACTTTATCTTCACTGTGGTATTAGGATTTGACAACCTAATTTCACTAGCATAAGATCATAACAATGCATATTGTTCAGGATTAGCCCCAGATCCACTAGCCAACACTTTTTTTTAGCTCTATAGAGTTGACTTTTATTGAAAAGAAGCCTGTGTTCCCCTTGCACTATCTTCCTCATGGATTCCAAAGGCCACTTGGGATCAGTCCATATTTTCTCTCTATATGTATCAACTAGCCACCTAGAGTTTGCGTGAGAAACCTTCTGTTTTCTAGGACATTTATGCTTGAGCTCATACTTTGTCAACTGAACACTATCCTAATCAGGCAACTTAGTAGCATACATAATCCAAGGACAAGTTGTGTGCTTACATTAACTTGTACCTTGGTTCTCTCATTAATGCTAAAAACTACATCCTTCCCATTCTTAATAGCATGCTGTCTAACTGCTTTCCTAAACAAAGACATATCTGTAAAAAAACATGCATAACTCAAAAATAGGGTTTGAAATGTCTGATTTCTCATTGAAAACATTATGACCCTTATGCTTATCCTTTGTTCTGCTGACTATGGACTCAACATGGGGTCTGCACACACCCTCAGACCTACTTGAACTTAGGCCCCCAAACTCAACATCACTATCAATATTTTCATCACACATAATATCATCATCATCAGCAGAAACATCACAATCACTATCTATGAAAACATCAGAGTGACTAGAATCTGAACCCCAAGACTGAACATCATCACTATCATTGCTCATACATTCATCAACCAAATCATTAACAATATCATTCTCTGGATCCCTAAGGTCATTTGTTGTCATGCCTTCATCATCACAATCACCAATATAATTCAAATGTTCATTAATATGAGGAAAAGAAAAGGTTTCATGATTTTTCTTTTTAGTTTCATGCTCCACATATAAACCCACCAGCCTGCTATCATTCACCATTTGCCCCATTCTGAGTACATCACTATCATCATTCAAGATAAGCAAATTATTGCAGTCATTCACATCTCCTTGTGTGCAGTGAAGTTGTTTCACTTCATTAGCACCTAACTCTTCTAGCATACTCATAATCTCAATTAAAGAAATTTCATAATGATGACAATAGTCAATATAAGCAACTTCACCTGCCAAATATTACTTATTGCCCAAATTAAAAAAATCCCCAGAATGATATACTCTGATTGTGAACATCTCATATTGGGGACCTGAACATATAACAAAGTAAAAAAACAAAGGAATGAGATTTCGACATGAACAACTCTTCTGCAATAAAAAAAAAAAAATTGCATTTTTCTACTCACTGAACATATAACAAAGTACTAAACACATATTACGGACTAATTAACAACGAATTAGAACACGAACACCAGTGTCGTCCCAAAAATAAATGAAAAAAGAAGAACAAATTACGAACGCACCGTAATCTGGGCAACAACTTCCAGGCGGTATACCTTCATCATCGGAGGCACGTACTTTCCATATCATTGTTCAATTACTATATGTTGTGCTTGAAAGATTTTCGAGAGAATGAACTTTCTTTGGATATTAGGGTTTGGAATTGAGAGAATTTTGAAATTGGGTACCGATCGATTTGGGGCTGGGACGAATTTTAGGTTTTAATTAGGAAAAGAACTTGAAATGACTGTTATGCCCTCGTTAGCCATGTCGCCATTGCCACATATCGAACTGATATGAACTCCGATGGCCGGAAGTGGGTAAGTACACAAAAGAGCGAAGTTCATACCGGTTAAGTGCCAAAAAAAAAAAAATTTAGTGGGTAAAGTGTAAAAAGGCGGATGGTTGAGTAGGCAAAGTGTAATTTTTCCTTAAAAAAATTTAACACTTTAGTTTGTTTGAATTTGTTAAGACTTAGAGACCCCTAGCCAATTCCCACATTGAGATTAAAAAAAATAAAAAATAAAAAATAAAAATAATAATAATAATAATAAAAATTCCCACATTGAGTCGTAAGATTTTTTAGAATTCCACTATAATCTAAGAAGATGTATTAATTTTGAATTTTGAGTGATGTTTTGTACTTCTAAACTCCTTACAAATTTTGGACTTATAACAACAACCCGTTTCTTACATGGTATATGAGCGGCCCTACATGGGACCTGCAACGACGTACCCATTGACCCGACCTACTCTGTGGGTTTAGGATTCGTATGAATGACTCACAAGTGATGACGTATATTAGAATATCACTTGTGAGTTGCTCCATATCGTTTATATAGGGAATATGTCTAACTTATAAGCCTAGTGGGCTACTCCACATAATACCAATTGGTTTTGAGATGGAACCTCAATATGGCGCATCTTGACTCACCCTCTTATGGGCGCTTCCCCCGTATGAGACCATCCCCACTAAGGTGCATCTAGCTCTTACCCTCTTATGGTGGGTCTCACGTGCATGGAACCACACTCTTTTTCCTCGATTCTTTCACATACAAAATCCAATAGCTCTCACCCTATTATGGTGCGCTTCACGAGAATGAGATCGCGCTCGTTTCCCTCGATTGTTTCACTTACAAAATTCAATAATATCTCTTTGTCGTTTATGTTCGTCATTCATATTGTGTTATTCTCTTACTATCTCCACACACGAATGATTGTTTTATTCTCTTTGATTACACACATTTTATATATGTAACCACATCGATGTAAATTTTACCATTTTTAAATTCGGGATGGGGATTGACCCAGGGTGGGCAGGACGGTTCAACATATGGATCATCGAGTCAATTATTGAATTGAATAGTTAATTTTGAGAATTTTAAAATTATCTATATATATGTATAATATTTTTATAATATAAATATGCATAAACAAATATAAGTATTTCTGTATATAATTTGTACGCATCAAAGTGTAATAATATAGTACGTTTTTGTTTGTCCCGTTTTTGTTACTATTTTCTTTGATATTTTGTGTGTCGTTTCCCCCGTTTTAGGTCCTTTCTTAGGTATTTCCGGCCTCTTTTGTCGTTTCTTGCGTTTTATTGTTATTTTGATGTGTTTAGGTTTGTTCTATGTTTTCTTTTCTATTTTCTCTGCTTTTCGTGTTTTTCCGGTAGTGCGATTTCAGGTTGTAGGATGATCAGGCTGGCGAGTGTCCAAACATAATGAGAAGTGGATGATTCGAGCAGCATTTTGCGGGTCTCAGACATGCGAGAATGAAGTTTTCAGCTCGGGCAGTACCCGAGCGACGTAGCCGAGCACGCGAGCTGTAAAAAAAAAGGGGAAGATTTTGGACCAACGGGACCTTAGCGCCGCTAAGGCCCCAGTATTAGCGCCGCTTTGAAGTTTCTCTCGGACAGACGCGGGCAGCTAACCTGCCTTAGCGGCGCTAACCCCTTAGTGCCGCTAAGGTCTGTTTTAAGGCCATCGCGGGTTTCATGGAATTTGAAATGGGAAAGGTTATGAGATCGATGGGAGGCGTTATTTGGGCATTCAGACTCGTTTTTATCATATCTTTTCACCTTAGAACATATTTTTCTTTTTACTTTTGCATCTTGGATTTGATTTTGAGATTGAAGAACTCGTTTCTAGCTTTGGATTTTGGATTGCTCGTTGTTGGTTCGATATTGGATTTGATAATAATCGTAAGCTTTTCTTTTCATTTCATATATGAATGTGATGGCTTGTTTGATTATGAATCTTCGTGTTGAGATTGCGATGAGTAGCTAAATTCGATAACTAGGGTTAGGGGATGATTGTTCCGGTTCAATTTCGTTTTTGAGAATGTTGATTACTCTATCTATTCGAGTTATGTTAAACCTAGGGTTAGATGATTGATCACCATCCTAATTCATTTAATCGATTTTAGAACTGAAAGGGGAGAAATCGATCGACCTCGGCTCGTTTAGAGTAGGCTTGTTCAGAAATGTATTGCCTATGTGCTAATTGACTTGATGATTGTTCGCTTATGTTTATTCTCTTGTTTCGTGAGATATTGAGGACGAATCTTTAGATGGATTGGTCTTTAACTCTGTTAGCCGAGTAATTGATTCCCACTAAATGCTTTGAGAACCGGAAACGATTGTCCCCGATACCCTAGTCCCTTTAAACTATTGGAATTTGTGTTTTAACTGTGAGTTTGGAATTGATTGTTTTGCTTTCGTAATTACTTGCTTTCCAATTAGTAGTCGTTAAATCAAACCCTCAATCTGGAAGTAGAGTGTTTAGGACTTTCTTTTATCTTTTTGTGTGATTGAATAACGTGCAAAATAATCCAGCCGACCTTCCTTGTGATACGACCCGGTGTCGAATCTTTCGATTCTACTCCGGTAAAAATACTTACAACGGTTTTAATAAATGTTTATCACAAAAATATATGTATAAAAGAAAATGTAACAAGATCGGGTCAAACCGGGTTGACCCAAGTTGTGTTGGTCGGGATTAACCAATTCTATTATCATCCATTTCGAAACAACCGAGTTGACTCAAGGTTGTGTTGGTCGGGTTTAACCAATTCTATTATCATCCATTACGAAACAACCGCTGGACGGTTCCAACTCTGATTTGTCCGTGTTGAATAGCAATGGTATTGAAAAACTATCATTGTGGATTCGACCCGTTACACTTTTTCACATATAAATATTTAACTATTTATACTAAAATGAGACAACTTATATGAAAATCTATTGGAAAACTATGAGGCACAAAACACAAAATAAACTCACCAAACAAATCTCCATTTTTTGTTTTGTTTTCCCTTTTTATCTTCTCAACCTTCAAAGTGTCAAGCTGAGAGAGACAAAAGGACAGCCAACCAAAAATACAAACAACAAAAGGACCCCAACAAAAATTGGCTTCCATTCCATTGCAAGGACTCATTGAAATAGAGAGAAAACATAGAGAAAGGGACAAAAAGAAAGAGAGAAACAACAAAAGCCATCTCAGTTAATCCGAAAACCGTGGACGATTAACGACGACGATGGCTTCCCGATTTGCGCTGGCCGTCATCCTGGTGGCGCTGGCCGCCATGGCCGCTGCAGCGTACGCTGGCGATTTCTCCTTGGCGGTGGCGGAGCCCAAGGGCCACGGCGACCTGGTGGCGGACGCCCTCGACTTCGACCAGGAGATGATGATGGAGTCGGAGAGCGCACGGCGGCAGCTCCGCCGCGGAGGGTACATCAGCTACGGCGCCATGGGGCGGAACAACGTGCCGTGCAATCGGCGTGGACGGTCGTACTACAACTGCAATGGCCACCAGCGGGCCAATCCCTACCGGCGCGGCTGCACCAGGGCCACCAGGTGCGCCAGGAACAACCACTGATGGCAGCGGCGGCGCGTGGGGCGTTCGAGAAGATGACGCATAGAGATGACGCTCGGGAGGATTAATGATGATCGGTTGGATTTTATTTTAATGTTGTTTTTTACTAAATATTATATTCCTTTTTTGTGTGTTTATTTTTCGATTTAAAATTTGTTTTTGTTGGTGTATAGATGACCAAATTCAATATAAACATAAATATAATATAAGATGATGCTTGATTGTTATAATTATTAATTTCCTCTCCATGTAATTCTTGATTTTTCCAAGGAGTAAGTGGAGTGAGGTATTATTTGATGCTTTTTATATATAGAAATTGAACACAAACAACTCGTTTAAGGTTTTTTTATGTGATAAACGAGCTTAGCTAAGTCGAGCTTTCACGAGTTTTTAAACGAACACAAGTTCGAATGGGAGCTACTCAACTCGAGTAACACCCCTAATTGGAGGCATTTCAAGATTATTGAAATCTGAAATGAAAATGCATGTAACTGCAATATAATGCTTAAATAACGATTACAAACTATGAGTGCATCGAACAATCAATAGAAGCAAGATATTGCTTGGATTTGAAAAAATTTTATTATTATTTGATTAGTCAAAATCTACCAAATATAAATTCAAAGAAAAAAGCTACCATAATAAATCTCAGAGTTGTAAGCATCAATCACTATTTTTAAATGTTTATTATATATCGTTTTCGTTGGGCCAAAGAAGATGTTATGGTCCCGTTACAGAATCTTTTGGTCGAAATTTATAACTGTTAAATCATAATGTAATCGTTAAATTTAAAATCCCGACAGAATGATTTTATAACGTGACCATAGCATCTTCCCTGATTTTAACAATTATATTTTGTCTTACATTATCAAATTGTTTATAAAAATAGTTTTTGTCATTTTCCTTTTCGCGAGATTCCAAAATATTTGGAAAAAGTTTTGGCTCCATCACTGAAAATTTTGAGCCAAAACATTTTCATAATCAATTCGTCATATAAAATTCAGAAAAGCATCATCACTACACACACACACACATACATAGAATGGCGGTAAAAAATTGATTATACGTCGCCGGCGTACTTGGACGGCGCCAAAGTGAGGGAGACCAACTGACAAAGGCCTTGATTTTCGAGCTGTGTCGGCAATTTACCATCTGGGCTGGTTTCCGGCACCGGTGGCAGCATCACTGTTGAAGTCCACGGCGATTCGATTCCCCAGCCCCGGTAGCTTATTGTCAAATCCCCATCAGGTAAATATTCAGTTCTTGTTGTGTGGTGAGTTTTCTGAGCTGAGATTTTGTTATTGTTGCTTGGTTCTCATCTGGGTTTTTGCACTTTTTCCCCTTTAATAATTGTTGCTGATATTGATAGGTGATTACATCACTATATGGTTACTGTGGTGGTGGTGGTTTTTTAGGTTTGCTGAAGGAAAGAATGAAGGAAGAGGATATGTATTTGCTATCTCCAAATAGGTCTGTGTTATCGGAGCCATTGGCGAAATAGCGGCCCGACGAGCCTCCCAAGTCTTCGGATTGTGGTCCCTTGTTCTTGAACGTATGAAATTCATTGAGTGTTTAGTGTTGATTTACTAAATTTCTAATTTAGGTGTGTGAGCTGGCTTATTTGGTGTTGAGTGATATTTTTGCACAATCTCTTCTTTCATTGAATGTGAGCTTTGGTCATCTGTGGTAGGATCCGATCCAATAATTTTACGTCGGTCTGTATTTGGAGGTTTGTTTTGGAAATGTGGATTTGGCACTTATTTCATTTTACTTCTGATTACTTTTGCATTTCTGTTTTTGTAGGAGTATCCAATCAGCTGAGTGCAAATTAGTTTGAATAGCTTCAATAGCATACGTATAATTTACGTGCTCAATGATTGTTAGATTTTGGTACTACCTTTTGTTCATTTTCAAGTTATATGATGGTAAAGGATGGACTATATTTAATCCCATTTTTTGTTTTATTCAAGGAAGATACTAATGATTTTCAT